AAAGGGGGGTGGACAAAGTTTATTCCTCAACCCGATCTCAACATCTAGGTTTGGTCCAAAATTTTGCTCACGCAACTTACCTTCCCCTCCAAGGTTAAAACTCTCATGCAGTCATTCTAATCCCTTGATCCTGGCGGGGAAGGTGGCCAACAAGTTTTCACTAATTCCATATATTGAAAAAGTAATGCAACTTATTCGGCCAATATATTTCTCTGTTTCTTCTTAAGAAAAAGTAATGCAACTTATTTAATTTTATATATCTTATTTTTGTACTAGATGACATGAAAAGTTAGAAAGTAATATTTCATTGCCAAGTAGGTGACACATTTCATTTAAATCTGAATAATTTCGTTTGATAACTTTATTTAAAGTTAGATTTTGAACCATATATCATTTTGAATTCTGTGTATTTTAATTTTCCCAAGTACCATTCAAATCCAAAATTATCTTGAGTCCTGACTGCTCAATTGATTCAGAGGAACTGAGGAAGAGTTAGGGTGGATTCATGCAATGTATATTTCCTGCAGGGGAATCAGAGCTAATTACTCCTTTTCATTTCTTGAGGTGGTTGTGGGCTGTGAACTAGAAAGAGAACCTAATTCCGGTTGTGTGGTTGATGATACTACTGGGGGAAAGAAGATCATTTATTTGCACTTGAAGAAATTTTTTCGTGGTACTCGGTTTACTTTCCAGCCTTTTCTAAGAAGTCTCGAAGAGAAGCATAAAGAAGGGGAGATTGTTTGTGTAAGTGGTAAGGTAAGTTTCTAGAATCTCTAATATATTCTCTTGTTTGATTTTCATAATGGTTTAAGTCTGTACCATTCCATTATATGGATGATCTATCAGAAAATAATTGGAGACCTCTCTTTTTCAGATTTTACAGCCCCCTTCTAATCATTGAATATGTTGCCTCCTCATCACTGTAACTCTCTATTTCTAATTCTGCAGAGCAATCCTCTCTTGTTTGTGGACATGCTGCAGAGCAATACACTCAATTTCTAACATTGAAGTAACCAACAATGTATTAGTAAATGATCAATAGAGTTTCCATCACAATAGTGTAAAACGCACATAGAAGCTGACAAAAGGTTGCTTCCTTTGTAAGATATGTGAGCATTTTCAAGAAACTTGTCTTATTGTACTTAACTCTTAGGATAATTTTGTACCACATTCTTTGGCAGCGTGCATTTTTGTGGATGGTTTGGTTTTTTTTTTCTTTGGACATAGAACAAGGCATGAGTTTTTAGAATGTGATTTTGTTTAGGAAATAGTAGTAATCTTTGTGCTACACAAGATACCAGGATACCAGTTACCGCTATTTAGATAGGTACAAAAAGATGAAGTTGAAACTACTGCTTTTTCTGATGATGATGCTAGTTTCTGCATCATGTTGGACTCTATGAACTTTGAAGACTTGACATGACATTTTCTCATGAAGACTTGACATTTCCTTTTCCACTTAGGTAAGGACTATGCATTCTGAAGATCACTATGAGATGAGAGAATATAACATTGACATTCTTCAAGACGAAAAGGAGGTGTCCTTTTGTGCAAAAGAGAGGCCATATCCTATATACCCTTCAAAAAGAGGATTAAATCCAACATTTCTTAGAGATATTATTGCCAGGTTTGTACTAAATTGTTTAAAGAATTCTTGACATATTTTGTTCATTGTTATGTTTTCCTGTGTTGTCAAATAAAGTAGCCCTCCGTAGTCAATTTAGCTTCTGTAGAACCCCATAGCTCCTTATCCTTCTTTGCTTTTGAATGCAAAGGACCGGTTAGTCAGACTAATAACTTTTCCTTCAAATTCTCTCCTCCTCCAACCTGGTAGAAGTCCAATACCACATGGGTCCAGTGCTATTCCCCTTAAGGTTTTAATCAAAGATTCTTGCTCTTCATCTCTCCAGCTGATTGTCAGCCTGCTTTGTTGCCTTTCATCCTTTTTGATTAATATCTAGTGTCAAGTTTGACCTTTGATTGTGGGAGGAAAAAAAGAAAATAGACTTCGGAGTTAGGGACATTAGTAAGCAACCTAGATGCTCCGACGGTCAAGTTATGAATATGCTATTTAGAGCGAAGACAAGTTCAAGAAGACACCAAACTGAGAGTAGAGGTTTGCACATTTTTTGTAATGCTTCTTGTTAAGAGGTGAATTCGTTGTAGTATACTAGTTGGTCAGATGTACCCATTTCACACGATGTTAGGAACTCAGGAGTCATAGTTGTGGGAAATTGGTTCCTTGATTTTCTATGAACAGTTCGCTTGTGACAAGTGTTTGACAACATCTTAGGGCCATGTGTTGAAAAGGATGGTGGGCATTAGATAGCTCTCGGTTGGCTGAAACTGTGAGGCATCTCCTAGGTATCCAAGGGGCTATCTAGCTTTGAGGTGGAAGTAATGGTTTGTATTAAGCTGTCTGAGGGAGATTTGGTGGTGTTCGTAGGTCTTGATCAATTCAATAGCTTGCCTAACTAATAAAGTAAACTGTATCTTTCGAATAATTGTTTCTTTTCATTACTTCAATTAAAAGTTTCATTTCTTGTTTGAAAAAGAAAAAATAAAGTAAACAATATTCAACCATGAGATCAGCAATGAGACAATAATGGAAGAAAATACAGCCACTCTCTTCAAATCTGTTTTATGGTGAGCGATGATATCACATTCTTTAACTGAAGTTATGTTTTCTATTAGAATAAGTTTGAATATCATGTTAAATTGTTGATTGTCTTTCATTTGAGTCTGTTGCAAAAATATTGCTATTGATATCAAAGCTGTCTGTTTTCCGACAAAATGCGTTTCCACGTATTTTCTCAATAGGTTATTAGCTTAAAATTCGTTACCTTCACATTGTAAAGTCACTAATTTGGATAAGGTTTAAGCTGATAGAAGTTGGACTCAGGTGTGTACTTGCAGATTTTTTTATTTTCAAAACATAGTAGTAAGGTAACTAAGGTTAAAAGGTGCCAGAAACCTTTTAAATTATGAGTTGGATGGTTTGATCGGTCTTATTTCATAATCAAGTCTATTTATTAAACCTATTCTGATGGTCTTTGGAGATTTTATATTTAATTTTAACTCTCTTTCCATCCCCATGTTATTTTTATATTTCATGCAGAGGCACAGAAATATTGCCAATCAATGTAGATCCCATTCCAGAAGATATCACTCAGGGCTTTGGGCTGTTACGTCTTCATGATGTAAGTGTCTCTTTTGCATTTAGTCTAGTGGAAAATGGGGGTGTGGGGGTGGCGTTGGTTGAGAGAAAATATTCAATGATATTTCATTTACCACTGTCATATAAACCGATGGCCAATTCCATTGAAATAGAAGTCACTAACGGATTCTTATAACTAAGATATTTACATTATCAAACAATAATGTACGGTATAACATTGAATATTTGTTTGCAAAAGTTTATTTCCAAATTTATTTATGATAACTTATTTCTGTTTCTAGTCTGACATTGAGTCTAAGGTAAAAAATAACTTATGCATCTCTCTCTCTATGCATGTTTGTGTGTGTATTTTCTTGCTATGAGTTGCTTTTTTCTTCATGAATAAAAGGTTTTGTTTTGTGTTGTCTTTTCCCCATCTTATTCTTCTGTGTGCATTAGAAGTTGTGGTGAACACTAAGGTTAAGTGTGGTAAAAGACTCTTAATTCTTAAATTCTACCAAGTGGTCATCAGTTAAATCCTATTAGGAAGGTAAAACTTATTCTTTATTTTATTATTCTTTCTCTCTTTGTTTGATAATGGTTACAAGCATCGGAAGGTGACATCCCAACTATGTTGGTATATTCTTAGCACTCTTACATCTGTCCCATCCCAAAATAAATGGTTACAGGCATCGGGTAGGAGGGATTCCGCCCTGATTCCATCTAAGGTTTTTCTTGCAAATCTTTCTTCCTTTGTTTGATGGATCCCTCCTCTCAGTGCCCTGTTTTTTTCCTTCTGTTTGAAAGGTTAAAATTTCCAAGAAGTTCAAATTTTTTCTTGGTAGATCTTATATGGTAGAGTTAATAATTGTATTACGAGACACTCATCCTATCTGATAGGGGTCATAGTGCCCTATTATCTGTAGGGGTATGCTGAGGATCTCAATCTTCTTTGGAGTTGCCAGTTCACATTTTCGATTTGGAACTGAATATATATTTTTTTTTGATAAGAAACAGACAAGTTGTATTCCATTCAAAAAAGGGACAACCTAAAGGCAGAAGGTTGAGAAACCCCCCCCCCCCCAAAAGAACTAAACAATCACAGCTTTCCAATCCTGTATAATCATTTGTAGACTATAATTACAAAAAACCTTCTTGTGGATGGAAGCCCACCAAGAAGGCTTATGCTATATATTCACACAAAGAGGATCCACCGAGGCCTTCTTATCTTCAAAAAGTCTACTATTCCTTTCTCTCCACAAAAGCCAAAGTAATGCTCTAGCCAAACAATTCCATAGGATAAAGGCTTTACCCCTAAGGGCCCTTCCTCCGAAGCCTTCTGAAATAAACTCATCTATCTTTTGAGGGAGACAAAAAGACACTCCCACCAAAGAAGCAAAGTAAAACCACACTGAAGAAGCCACCTGACAATGGAGGAAAAGATGATCTAGCGTCTCAAAATCCTATTCATCCTTATTCAAAGAGTGGAACAAGAGTGCAGTTTGATGTTGGAGGAGGCCCTTATTCATCCTCCATTTGGGGAAAAGGGCCTTTTTTATGTTTTTTTCCCCTATTTTACGAGGGGCTGGATTGAGAGGAACAAGAAGATTTTTATGAGAGTTCTTGGGAGGAGATTTGGTTACTTGTTGGGTATCACATCTCTCTTTGGGCTCCTATGTCCAAAGCTTTTTGTAACTACTCTTTAGGTCAAATTTGGTTACATTGGAGCCCCTTCTTGTTTTAGTTTGCCTCTTTTTGTTGGGCTATTATTTTATATGCCCTTTTGTATTCTTTCATTCTTCTGAATTAAAGTTCAATTATTTTTATTAAAAATAAAAATATATTGGACAGAAAAACATCTGGAATGATCAAGATTCCACCTTATATGATCATCCCTACTAGATAAACTCAAATTATTAAGTCTTCAACAAATTGCAGAACTCAATCTCTTCATCCACCTTCAAACTTCTTCCATCTGCAACTAATCACCAGCTAGAACAACAATCATCCTTTACCAAAATTTTCCCTTTTCCCTTTTTACTTTCCTTCCCACCAACCCAATTAGGCATTGGAAAAAGAGACATTAATTAGAGGGAAGATAGTTGAGAACTGCATTACATAAAGTGAACTTGCTCCTTATTCTTTTGTGTGTGTTGACAATTGCTTGAAGAACTGATTAGATTATGATAGAGTTCTGCTCTATTATTTATGTATAAGAGGGGAATTTACAGGTTGAGGGAGAATTCAAGAGCTCCCTAGCCTCTCCTACAATTCCTAACCATGAACAATCAGCCAAAAAGATACCTCACCCCCCTATTACAGCAGCTTATATAACCACCCTATACCCTTATAAGTGACCAAATTACCCTCTAACTAACTCGGGCCCACCAGAGTCTCATCTCTAGCCTTCTTGCCCTTCCTCCTTACATATTGCTTAATGACCGAGGGTCTATCATTACCCGCCCGCCACAGAGACACCTTGTCCTCAAGGTGGAAATCCGGAAATTGCATCTGAATGGTTGTTGAAGGCTCCCAAGTGGCGTCCTCAACAGCACCTCCCTCCCAACGCACCAGAAATTCCAACTCGGTGGCTTGGTTGCCGCTCGACCGAACGCCCAATATCGCGACCGGTTTAACCTTGACAAACCCATCGTCCCCTAAGTGTTTAGGGAAGGGAATAACCAGGAAGGTATGCCCAACGACCTATCGTAACTGAGAAACATGTATGACGGGGTGGATGTTGGCCCAATCCGGGAGAGCTAGCTTGTAGGCCACTGTGCCAACATGAGCAAGAACACGAAAGGGACCCACAAAGCGAGGAGCCAATTTGGCATTGGTGCGAGAATGAAGGGAGTGCTGACGATAGGGTCGAAGTTTCAAGTAAACACAAGACCCGATCTCAAACTCCACATCCCGACGTTTGGCGTTGGATTGGGCCATCATTCGTTGTTGGGCAGCCAACAAATGATCCTTCAACTGTCGGAGCATCACATCTCGATCCCATAACTGTTGGTCAACGGTGGAAACCGAAGTAGTGCCGTGTTCATATGGGAGAAGCGGAGGAGGTGGCCGGCCATAAACAGCCTCGAATGGTGACAGCTTTGTAGAAGTGTGGAAGGACGTATTATAGCTGAATTCAGCCCATGCGAGCCATTTGACCCACTTGGAAGGGGTGGTCATGGTGAAACAGCACAAATAAGACTCCAAGCAACGATTGACCACCTCCGTCTGGCCATCTGTTTGTGGGTGATAAGCCGAGCTGCGTCGTAAACTACTCCCCACACACCGAAATAGCTCCTCCCAAAACAAGCTCGTGAAAATCTTATCACGATCCGACACAATACTACGAGAAATTCCATGAAGACGTACCACCTCACGTATAAAGAGTTGAGCAATTGAGATGGCGGTATACGAATGTTTGAGAGGAATAAAATGACTATACTTGGACAAGTGATCATTCTATTAACCACTAATAGGATGGAGTTATACCCCTCAGAACGTGGTAAGCCTTCAACGAAATCCATGGAAACATCCTCCAAAATGCAGTCCGGTACGGGGAGGGGCTGAAGGAGCCCGGCGGGAGCTAAGGAGAGGTACTTTGCCTGCTGACACACCGAGCATTCAGCACAAAAACGTCGGACAGCTTGGCGCATGCCGTGCCAATAAACCTCACGACTAAGGCGTGCCATAGTCTTAAGAAAACCCATATGGCCCCCTGTGGGCGAACAATGAAACTCCTGCAAGAGAATTGGAATAGAGGGGGAGCTGGAAGCCAAAACCAACCGGCCCTGGAAATATAAAGTGTCTCGTGTCAGAGAGTAACCTGGTGGAGCGGGTTGACCGGAGCGGAGGGCAGTTAAAACCTTGGACAAGGCGTCATCGGCCATGATTTCCTGGGCAAGCACCGAGGTGTTGAGGCCATCGACCATAGATAAGGCATTCATGTAGGCAATCTCCTGTCGTCGGGAAAGGGCATCGACAACCTTGTTCTCCAACCCCGGCTTATACTCTATGTCAAAGTCGTATCCCATTAACTTTGTAATCCAGCGTTGATACTCCCTAGGATTCACGCGTTGGTCCAGAAGAAACTTCAGTGCCCGTTGGTCAGTACGGATAAGGAACTTACGCCCCAATAAGTAGGGTCGCCATTTTTGAACTGCCATCACAATTGCCATGAGTTCCCTCTCATAAATAGCCTTGTGGCGGTGGTTCAGAGGTAAAGCATGACTATAGTGGGCGAGGGGTCTCATATCTTGCATCAACACTGCCCCGAGTCCCACGTCTGATGCGTCAGTCTCCACCACAAATTGTTTGGAGAAGTTGSGAAGGCCTAGGACAGGCACCGCAATCATCAATTGCTTGAGATCCTCAAAGGCCTTCATGGCTTCTGATGACCAAATAAAATTATCCTTCTTGAGCAATTGAGTCCAGGGGAAAGCAACAGACCCATGATGTTGAACAAACTTCCTGTAATAGCCCGTGAGACCAAGGAAACCCCAAAGTTCTTTGATATTTTTGGGCATCGGCCAATCGATCATAGCTGATATTTTGGTCGGATCCGTAGCCACCCCGTCACAAGACACAATATGGCCTAAATACTCAATTTGTGGAACCCCGAACAGAAATTTCTTTTGATTAGCCACCAACTGATGGGTCGTCAATGCCTGAAAAACTAACCGGAGGTGCCTCACATGGTCCTGCACGGAGGAGCTATACACCAAAATGTCATAAAAAAAGATCAAGGTGAACTTACGGAGGTAGGGCTGCAAGATGTCGTTCATGACCGATTGGAAGGTAGACGGTGCATTCCGTAGTCCGAACGACATGGCAAGGAATTCATAATGACCGTCATGCGTGCGGAAGGCCGTTTTATGAACATCACTGGGTCGCACTCGAATATGGTGATATCCCGATTTCAAATCGATCTTGGAGAATATAGTGGCACCACACAATTCATCCAACAATTCCTCCACCACCGGGATTGGAAATTGGTCGGGGATAGTGACACGATTCAAGGCCCGATAGTCCATGCAAAACCGCCAACTCCCATCTTTCTTTTTAACCAAGAGCACGGGACTGGAAAACGCACTTGAACTGGGCTGTATAATACCTGCAAGCAACATTTCTTGGACCAACTTTTCAATCTAATCTTTCTGAGATTGTGGATAACGGTAGGGTCGAACACTTACCGGCTCGGCAGCAGGGTGCAATTCAATGGCATGGTCATGGGTCCGAGAAGGGGGTAAGCCTTCAAGGGATTGAAAAAGGTGATGAAACTCACCCAACAGCTACTGAACCTCTACTGGGGACTCCCCCGATCCTGATGGTCTGTGGTCGGCAAGTGCAGACTTAACTGCATTCAATTCTAAAATCA